GCATTTTTGAGCCTAGATACGCCTCTGCGTGTAGACAGTCGAAAACAGATCTCTGCTTGAGCTCTCGTTTTATCTTCTCCCCATATACCAACCGTACCTCCTTGTTGGCGGTTGATCCGTATTTACTGCTTAGCCTCCAAGTGGAGGTCAGATCATCGTTTGGTTTACCGCCAAATTGTACAGTAATCAGTATTACTGTAGTAATTAAGTTTGTAATATTAAACAAAGATTACAGGTTGGAGTTTTTCACGTTTGGAATGGAGAGATTCTCGTGAAAGGCATCGCAAATTATTTTAGGTTGCCAATGCAATTTTGCATAATCAAATTGCGACTGACTAAAAATGGTGAAGTATTATAAGAACCACTTCAATTGTAGTTGATTTCTAACGAGAAACAAACCTACTCTAATGCATACAGTACATGTACAAAACATATTGCAAGCCCCATAATCACAAATATTACAATGACGCATGTCTCATCGAACTACCCTCCATTTACCTACATAATAAACGTTATTGGCCTGCGCTGGACAATCAAACGACGCTGTTTGATTGTCCATCGCAGGCAAAACCTCCACCTCGACACTATGAAGCATATCCTATATTTTTCACCTTCAGTGAGTAACGATACATTAATATACTCAGATTGTATGCTTGGGCATGGGCACCGAGTTTACGATTTATGCGCTTACATTTTCTTGTAGATAAAGTACCACCTGGATCGTTAACAGCCAATGCTTACCTCTCCCAGTTCGATTCACTTTGCAATCTGCTCTCGAAGACTCAAGCCGCCACATCAATCTCCACCACGCACGATGCATGTCCTGTCGATTCTATTTGTCCTGGTTTCAACCGCTTCGGTTACGTGTATCGCTACCACGACACATGCCGATGTTACGAAGGTTAAGCTGGATGCAGAACGTTTGCCTCGCCATTTCTCTTCTGACTATCAGCTTATCAAACGATCTCTGCGTCGACATGATCTCGACGAGGTGGCTGAAATTCTTCCCAAGCATGAAGAGAGAGGGGGTCTCGAAAAGATGGACGATGCGATAGCGAAAGTCGACGACGCAGTAGGGATGACGGGGAAAATTAACGACGTAATGGGGAAGACAGGGAAACTAGCGTTGGCAGCGAAATGGCAAACCACACTAAAGATGGTGACCGAGCGTGCAGGACTCGTGAAACAACTCTCGGAGAAGTATTCGATGGCCGACGAGCTGAGCCTCAGGACACTGAGGGAGTTGGCGAATGTTGATAAACAGAGGGCGATAAGTCCCGGCACGTTCAACAAGAATACTGGCGGCGGTATGCGCAAGTATATTGAGCCCTTTCCTGGCATAAAAATTGCTCCCAAAAAGTATTTGGAAGCGCATGTAGGACGTGGGGAGCAGGTCTACGTCAACGGTAAGGATCGGGTGCTGACCGCCGCTGTGATCGGTAATGGGGATGACGTCCTCCTCATTTCAAGCTCGAAAAAGCCAAACGATTGGGTTATTCCGAAAGGAGGCTTGGACAAGGGTGAGAAGGTTCAGCATGCCGCCTTGCGTGAGGTTATTGAGGAAGCAGGGGTACGTCGATCTGGGGTATCATTTGCTTGTGGGCCCTTAGTTTTCCTAACTCATCTCTTCACAGATTCAAGCACGTCTAAAGCAAAACCTGGGCACGTTTACGTACAAGGAAGGTGACAAGGGATACAAATTTGTTGCCTACTCTATGGATGAGATTCAGCGCTTTGACGATTGGGCTGAGA